TTCTCGATAATCCGTTATTTATTTGACGCTTTTTATAGACTCGATCCTTTTCTTATCTCGTGCCTCGCGATAATTATTTATTATAATGATTATGCTCTATATAATTATAATTATTGTCTTATGTGTGTGTGAGAAATCGAGTTTGATTATATTAATCTCTCTCTCTCTCTCTCATGTTTTTTATATGTCACGTTGATAATGATTTAATAAGAACGCGACGAATACGAGCACGACCTTTTATTGCTGTTATCTTGAGATTGATTTATATAACACTATATGTACACATGTATGAAAATATAAGAAGAGCTTTGATGTATTCTTTACTCAGCCTTGTGTGGGTATATCCTATAAAATGTTGGATACGATAAAATTTTCGTCGGTAACATTACTGTTTTATCCGTCAACCTTTACCTAAATTGTGATTCCCTAACAAGAGAAAAGTTTGCAGAAACGCGTAGAATCAAATCTCTGCGCTATAATAGATATTGCGTAGTTTCGTGAAAATTATTGTCTCTCAATAATAAAAATATCTTGTACGTTGCGCCAGATAAATGCAGAAAACTGCATTATCTTTTTAAAAAAGCTTCCGTTTACCGACCCATGATATTGACGGAAACGTGCGGTAACCGGAAGCAAAGAAGGACCTATCGTCTTTACCGACGTGTAAAAAAATTCTCGACCGTAAAGACGATCAAATCAAGCGTAAATTAATTGTGTAATTGATCGGTCAAGCAACAGCTCTTCGGACGCAGAGTTAAAGGGTAAGAAACACAACTTCGTCTTTAAGAATTTCTTTAAAGAATAGTTGATAGATTATTTGCAAGATTAAAACTTAAACAGTGAAACGTACACGCGCACAAACATTTAAAATTACAATTCTGTATCGCGATATTTTAAACTGATAAATAGTTGGAGTGATTAAAAGGAAAAATTGTTATAAACGAATATAAGAAGTGTTGGATAATAGGCTACGAAAAACCGACACTCTGATATTGAACGTTCGATAACTTATTCGTGACTTATCGGTGTCTGGCACATTTCCAATTAGCCAGCAGGCCGCGGAAACTTTCCCCATTTCTGTCAAGATGGACGTACCCGCAGCTATTCCAGAGCGCGGAGCTAATCAAATTCAGATTAAATTCAAGAATAATCTCGGGTATATTGTAGAAGACGCGCTATTCCCGAACTGGACCGTGAGTAGACGTCGCGTATATTATAAACGATTAATTATCGCTTTGAATCAGCTGTTGTTGAAGTTTCTTTTTTTTTTATAAAAAAAAATATATATATATATATTTATTTTGCAATAATGCAGCCTTAATTATTGCATAGAGATTTAGTAGCATTTTACGGAGTGCGCTGAAAACTGTTTATTTATATCCGGCGATTCTTTCCCGCACTCAAAGGGCCAGTGTAATCTGCCGTGCGGTGAGGTGAGGTCAAGATTGGTGTGCGAGGGCGAGGGTGAGGGTGAGGGCAACATCGAGTGAACATCGGGATCCAAAGGCAGGACGGAAAACGTCCCCTTCGCGACACACGCGTGGGCGATTATGGTCTAATTCCCTTGTACGCGCATTCCTGGTCGACCTGACTGCCTTACCTACCAACCTACCTGTGCCTCCTCGGGAGGCAGCGAGGAAAAATGCGCTAGCCGCGCCGGTGCACCGCGATAAGCATACGCTCGAGAGGCAGGGGCCGCCGCGGAGGCCCTCACGGGATTTCACCCCCTCCGCCGTGCAAAAAAAAAAAAAAAAAAAAAATTTATGAACGTATCTCTGTTTTCTTTCGATCCTTTCCTCCCGCCCGTTTGCACGCTTTCTCCCTTGCGGTGGAAAGGCGGAGAAAGAGAGTCGGAAAGAGACAGGGTGAAAGGGAGGCAAGGCAAATGTCAATATCGACGATGCATCGTTGAGAGGGCGCGGGAATGAGAGCGTAATTAATCGTCGAAGCCAAGAAATCTCTTCCCTCTTTCTCTTCCTCGTTCGATCAATTTGTTAGTATCTTTGCTTGTTCTTCTCTCCTTACCTTTCTCTCTCTCTCTCTTTCTCTTTCTTTGCGTATCTCGCTAATCTTTTACATGTGTGTATGGAAAATTAGATCGCGCGCTTCTAAAGAGATTTTCGTCTCCTGTCTTTCAGCCATTCAAGAAATTTTTCTGTTAACGAATGCATCTCGAATGCTTCCGTTGGCTCGCAGTGTAAACAGCCCTTTAAAGAGCCTATAAGTTACGTTGCAACGACAGCGAGAAAGCAGCCTGGTGGCAGCCGGCGTTTATATTTATTTAAGTTTCGACGACACCGAACATTTGCCTCCGGAGGAAACATTAAACGCTCGTCCTGGCGCAACACATCTGTTACGCGCGTCTTCAAAATCACAAGGAAGAATCCTAATTTGCGGTAATTTAACGTAATAAGGACGGAATGAAAGAACGATATTTTGAGAAAAGTTATTTTCCACATATCTCGATATAGATATTTTTGTGGCGTGCTTCGTCGGAAAGGAACGATATAGCTTTCGCGTACGTTTTTCTTATCGTGCATCTGCCAGTACGAGGAGAGAAACGTGTTTACGAAATATTTTAATTACCTTATCGTCAAATCGCCGCGTACTCTGGCAGCTGCTATTGTCGAACGCGTGCTTCTAATTGGCTGAGCTAGATGGTAGGCTATAGTCCTTTTACGGGACGAAGATGAGACATTACCTCTCTCAAAATATCATAATTCTAGAGCGGCAAAAGCGCAATATACATTTTTAGCTTCTTCAATATTTTATTTTAGCGATGACGATATTAGAAAATTGCGTTTTTAAAGCTACAGAGAAGCAACGACAAAAATCTCAGATTTCCGTAAACGATAATGAAAATATTCGACGCCTCGTCAACACTTGGGCATCCTATTCTTTTTTTTTTTTCTCTGCATCGCGTATCCATTGCATGCGTGTCACATGCACGCGCAAGAGTAGCAGGAAGCCCGATAAAATTGTCAAACGGTAACAGGGGGATCCTGACATTCGCAAAAAGTTGGGCTTGTCATACGCAGGAATTTTTTTTCATTCTCGATACCCGAAGTTTGCAGTGTCGCGAGGAAAACCTCCAGCAAATCTTTTATGTCTCATCGAACATTAAAAGCTTTATTTTCTGCGATTATGAATAATTCACTCGAGACTAAAATTGTATGGTTTGTTAGCGCATTAATACACGCAGATGGAAGATCGGCAATATTAGACCGCGCTGGTTTTTCGATCAGCTGACTTTAATTTCATCAAACCATTTTCATTGTACGACAGATGGCCGGCGACGGCGGACGAAAAGACCGTTGCATCCATTAGAAGTGTGGCGGTTAAAAATGGTAGATACGCGTCGGAAGGAAGGACAGGTTGCCGAGCATGCGGCGCAAAAACGATAGTGTGCGTTAAGGTTTCCGCGAATAATGACGCTCATTGTACAGAAAAACCGCCCGTAATTAGCGCCATCGAGAAATTCGCAAAATTATTCTCCGTGTCTAAAATCAAATTAAACGGAATAATTCCCATGAAAATAATGACTCAAACTCGATCATTTCTCTTTACTAATTTCATATATATATATATATATATATATGTGTGTGTGTGTGTGTATGTATACTATATATATATATTCTGTTTATACATTTATTAGGAAGAGTGGAGTTCCTATATATATATATGTATGTATATATATATATATATATATATATATATTTATATTTATATTTATAACAACAATTACATCGATTGTAATAAATATTTTCCGTTCACTTCGAGAAGCGATAGAGCAATCGGGCATGCTTTCATTAGCTATACTTGCGACTTGTTTTCTTCACGCAACAATCCACTTGGAACATTCTCTCGACGCAGTTCAAAACTAATAAACAAGGGTCTATCGTATCGATGAGAGCTATCAAGTTATCGGTTGTAATTTCCGCGGATACACAACACGAACCTTGGACCGTCGTCCGTGGCGTTGTCGGTACACGTGTCAGACGGACGAACAAGTAGTACGGCGTGGTAACGGCTTTAATAATTATTTTTACAACGTTTCCGAGTACACGCGGCCTCAGTTCGTCGCGCTTCGCCGACTCGCAGCTGGCTTCCATACAACCCTGCGGCACAAGGGCGGCTCCGCATGCAAACCGACGCGACGAGACGTCGTCCTTCCGTCGCGTATCGTTCTTTTTTTTCTTATCAATTCGAATCAAGATCAACAGTTTGAATTTAAGTTTCACAAGTATAATTAGATAATTAGTTTAGTTCGTAAAGAAAAATATAGAGAAAGCGAGAATTTAATTGCTCTGAGACAAATATAATGGGTCGAGAGATCGCTTAAGAAAAATCCACGCTTGTAAGAGAATCTATTCTTTTTCGTAAACGCAATTATCTCGGTGTGTTCCTTGGGAGAAAGTAGGTAAAATTTGACGACGGCGACGGCTGCGTACAATTTTCACAGAGCGAGGACTACGTGGAAAGGGCGGAACTTCGTGCGACTCGGTTGGCAGGTGTAAGTAATGAAAGTAACGTGCTCTTTTAAAGCAAGAGGGGAATACTTAATACTTCTTCTGCATCAGGTGCTATTTATAACGAG